CCGCCCCCTCCCCCCAGGCGAGGTGCGCATGCCCTCAGGGAAGACGGCCCGGCCCAGCATCACGGATAACAAGGACGGGACGGTGACCGTGCGGTTCGCACCTGTGGAGAAGGGGCTGCACGAGATGGACATCAAATACGATGGCAACCACATCCCCGGTGAGCGACTGGCCGCCCACAGCTGGGGGAGCCTGGGACCCGCCCGGCCATGGCTCCTGGGGCGGGATGGGGGGATGCCCAGGACTGGCCCAGCCACGGCTCCTGGGGCGGTTGGGGGAACACCCGGGACCGGCCCAGCCACAGCTCCCAATGCGGGTGATGGGAGCGTCCCGCCCCCGTCCCTTCCCCTTGTTGCTGGGACTGGCTTCTCCCGACAGGGCCTTGCCCTGTGCGCCAGGCCCCAGGGGCAGGGGGTCCCATGGGGAGAAGGCCCCAGACAGCCCTTGGCCCACCCCCAGCCCCCAGATGATCCCCCCCCCTCCTTGGTGCCATGTCCCCCCATGGCCCCTTCCTCCCCTGCCTGATGTGGCCAGAGCGGGGGCCAGGCCCCACCCCCCGGCTCTGCCCCCTCCCCGGAGCCAGCACCCCCTAGCGCCAGCCTGGTTCGGAGGAGCCGGCACCCTAGGGGGCTGAGAGCCCAGGCCTGGTGTGCGGGGTGGCTGGAGATCAGCCTGTCAGGGAGTCCCCGGGCGATGCTCTGGAACTGCTCCCCACGAAGCCAGGCAGGACTCCAGGGAGCCTCCTCTCTCGGAGCATTCAGCATCCTCTGCCCCTCCGTGCGCTTCCCCCAGCGAGTCCGCCCGGGCGGGGTCCTGGGGCAGCCAGAGGTCCTGCCCCCCAACTTCGCAGTCAGACGGGACTCTCAGCCAGCCAGTAAAACAGGAGGTTTATTAGACAACAGGAACAGGGTCTAAAACAGAGCTTGTAGGTACAGAGAACAGGACCCCTCAGCCGGGTCCATTTTGGGGGGCAGTGAGCCAGACACCCCCGTCTGCCCTCGCTCCTAGTCCCCAGCCAGCTCCAAACTGAAACCCCCTCCAGCCCCTCCTCTCTGGTCTTTGTCTCTTTCCGGAGCCAGGAAGTCACCTGATCTCTTTGTTCTCCAACACCTTTAGCTATCCCCTTGCAGGGGGGAAGGGCCCGGGCCCGGGCCATTAGTCGCCAGGAGACAGAGTGTTGGCCATTTATGTGCACTGGCCTTTATCCCACCACCTAGAGACTTAAGAAATGCATAGGGGAAACTGAGGCACCCACACAGTATTCAGAGGAAACATTAAGAACAGTCCCACTTCGTCACACAGCCCCTCTCCCCCCCCAAGTCTGAGGCCGAGCACCCACCGTGCCCCTGGAGCTGCCCAGCCTGGGGTCCCCAGGGCTCAGAGCCAGCCTCTCCTGCCGGGCTGGGCCCAACCTCTGAGGCCAGGACCCCCCTACAAGCCCCCACTCCCAGTCCCCCCGCCTCCTCCCTGCCCCACAGCACCCCCAGTGTCCCATGAGCCTCTGCCCCCCAGGACCCTCCCACACACCCGACCAGCCCCCAGTCACGGTGTCCCTGCCTCCCCCTCCCCAGGGAGCCCCCTGCAGTTCTACGTGGACGCCATCCACACCCGCCACGTCAGCGCCTATGGACCCGGCCTCAGCCACGGCATGGTCAACAGGCCAGCCACCTTCACCATCGTCACCAAGGGCGCCGGCGAAGGTACCA